CCGCAGCGGCAGCTGGTTCCCCGCTCCCGCCGGCGGGACCCGGTGAGCTCGGCAGGGCGCTGCCCCTGGCCGCGGCCCCGGCTCCCTCAGAGGGACCAGGAATCCGCCCCTGCGTGGTCCCTTCACCACCGTGAAAGGGGCGTCTCAACGGTGCCACGGGTAAAGAGGGGTTTTTCCCCACCAAGGGATGTACTGGGAGTTCAGCATCAGCGCTCTCAGGCATTTCGGAAGGTATTTTTAAACTGTTCCAAAGCCAGACCACACTCAGGAGTGGAAATAGCATCAAAACTCGTGCGCAGGGATGGCCCTCTGTCACACACAGCGGGCCTGCATGCTCTACGCCCCATCGGGAGTCGTGCTTGATAGTCTCTAATTTTTTTAACTCAATTAAAAACCCCAGACCCGGGGAAGGACACACGGATTTCAGCAGGCTTTGGACCCTAGACTCTTGGGACACGTTTCAAATTCCAGCAGCCTTTTGTTTATCCAAGGAAGATAAACTAAGTGGCCTGCTGAATAGTGCATGGCTTTTCAGGCAAGATCTGGAAAACAGCAGGTCTTTGCTCAGAAGGGACATTAAACATCCTGTGACACTTTCCATGAGAACAAAGATAAAATGGGACCTTTTCTTTACCCTTCCCAAACACTGTCTCCAGACAAGGGCTGCCTGGTTCCTGTCTTTCATCCAGGACCTTGCCACCTTTCAGCACTGCTATAAAGAGAGCAAGTGCAAAGCTCCCAGGAGCGCACAAGCAGAGCCAGAGAGAGGGTGGCTGCGAGAGGTTTGCTACACTGACTCTTCCAGGGTAAATGCAGAATACTTCAGTATAAGGAAGTATACATGATGCGGAGAAGCACAGCAACTTCAGGGTGGATTATTAATTGGAAAAGATTCCCCTTTCCACGTGGCAGAGCTACTCTGTCCAGGACAGTGGCATAAGGTGTTTGAGAGAAACTGCTCTGCAATGCTTCCCCCCTTCCTTCTGTGCACTGTAGGATGAAGCTGCATGCTGGGCAGCCCGCACCACCTATGCACAGCTTCCCAAGCACAAGTACTCACCTTCCTGTGGCTCACAGCAGCTGTAGAGAAAAGGGGCTAAGTTTTTTCCACCAGTTGTGTGGGTAACAAAAACTTGGTTCTTGAACAAGGAAAAAAATGCAGCTCTTGGTTTCTTGGTGATATCTTGATATTTTCCTCTTTTTTACAGTTCTGTAATATTTTCGAAATATTTTTAACCTTACCTGGATTAAACTGTGATTCACATTGAAGCATTTTACTTGCCAAAATACACTGCTAATGTAATTGCAAGAGGCTTTATTTGTACAGCGTAACACTGCCAGATAACAGACAGCTCTGAACAAGATGGCCTGCACATTAAGCTACTACTCAGGAGACTGGGGATCTCAGCATTGCAGCAAACTTCCTCTGTAAGTCTGGTTGGCACCATCTCTATGACAACTCCCCACCAGCGACGGGAACACCAGTGGTTATCTATGTTGGCTGCTGACATTTTGATGTCTGGGTCAACAACAGGTAATGTTTTCTTCTCTGTGGTCAGCGCACCACAGACCCACATCGTGTGTTGTATGTACCAGGAATACACAAAGAGGCAGTTAACACCGCTCATACTCTGCTAACTTGGCCGCTGGCATTGTAACAACTGTTAAAACACACTTTTGTGCTATTTAAGTTTTATATAAATTAATTTTCAGCACTGAAGTATCAGAACTAGATAACACTAAAACAATACACATGACTTCATTTGGCTCTTAGAAGCAACATTCTAACAATAACAGAAATACAAGGTTTTGGTTTACAGTCATATTTTACACATTCATGACAGGTTTCCTCTTCTCACTGCTAGAACAGATTTTTATCATTCAAGTTTTAACTGCTGACACCAGCTAAATGATCCACTGCATCGCTCCATCTAGAAGTTTGACAAGCAACACAATATAGCTCACCTGTAATGACCTTAATCCCTCCTGGGTTTCAGGACTATGCATGTTGCTCCTCTAGAATTGCTGTCATCACCATATCAGAGAAGTACATTCTCTCACCTGGAGTGTTCCAGCAAGAAAGACAACACATCCAGGAAGTGGATTGTTTTGGTTTGGTTCCTATACAAATAATACCTTTACACATTTTTATACTTTCCAAATCACAAAAATAATCAGAATCTGTAACACTATGGAACTCCATGGGTAAAGGAAATGTTTTTACAGTTTGGAAGATGGTTAGGTGCTGTGGTACAGCTGATGAATGCCCTTCATATGCACTTATGTTCGCTTTAAGCAAAGTTCTCTACGATGCTCAGTTGTCTTCTGCCAGAGTCTCTGGCGTAAAATATCTAGTTATACTGGGAAAACAGCCCTCTCCTATATGGAATTAATCTACCTCAATGTGGACATCCACACCCAGGAGGGCTGGGCTCCTTTGATGGAGACAAAAAGACACTTTCAGGATACTAGGTGTTGAAATGGGCTGCCCTGGGCAGTGGTTGAGTCCCCATCCCTGCAGGTGTTTAAGAGTTGGGTTGACATAGCACTGAGGGATATGGTGGAGTCGAGAGTGGTCAGTTTTAGGTTAATGGTTGGACTAGGTGATCTTCAAGGTCTTTTCCAACCTAGATGATTCTGTGATTCTGTAATTATCTGTGGTAAACTGAAAACCCCACTACCCTCCTTGCCTTGTCTTCTTCCACCTCTGATACAGCCAGCCAACAGCACAGGATATACTGTAACAGTATGCTGAGAGTGACATTTTCAGATCTAGTCACTAACATTTGGATATAGCAAGGGGACACAGCTTCCCCAACATCTCTGGAAATTAAGCCAAAGACATCATAGGCTGGAGAAACTGTAGTTGCTACAGTTCCCTCAGTTCCCCCTCTGCAGCTACAATCCAAATCTTGCTGACTGTAAGGAGAGGTTGAGTACTCACCACTTGTGAGTGAAGTGAAGGTGAAGGCAAGCTCTGTTGCTTACTGACATACAGGGCTTCAGCAGAAGATCAAAAGACTCTGATGATTTCCTCAAGATACATGGGTATGTAAGACACATATGGCACCTGGGTCAGAAAAAAGAGGGTATGTAATTGTTATTCCATGTCCTCACCTTTTACATGGACATTAGCAATTCCTGGAACATAAGACCATCATACAGCATCAGATCAAAAGATGCATTTAAAACCAGCCTTGTTTCTAGTGACACCCAGATGCAGACGCAGATACATCTTGCAACCTATTTTTACATAATTGAGTGTATGACTCCCCAGAATCTTCGGAAATTTTGGCAAAGATATTATCTCTTTCTTGATATAAACTAAGCATAGGTGATCAACACTTAATATTAGTTGAAGAAGATGATTCACCTCTGTGTGATTACAAGCTTTCACATTTCAAACCTCTTGCCTTGTTTATCTGAGGTATTCCTTCTGGTCTGTTGTGGAAGTCCTTGGTCCAAGCACACATAATAAGTTTTCTGGACACATTTTGATGCATGTATTTTACAAAGATCAGCACTCCAGCTAGTCTGAGTTTTCCAGTGCAACAATTTTTCAACAGAAAACACAGATTCACTAAAATAAATGTTCTATGGAAATGTGGTTCTGCGGCTATATAAAGTCAGAAGCTTTAAAAAAAAAGAAAAAAAAATATATATATATATATATCTATATCTATATCTTGTCCATCAGATGACTTTCTTTTTGCCACCTGCTAGGCTTCCTACTAGCAATCTTTTTTTTTTTTGTGGAAAAAGGGAAATGTCAAAATGTCTACATTTCATGTCACATCAGAATAAAAACTTAATTACATGTTGGAATTTTCTACAGCATGAGAATAACAAATTTGAATTAGTTGTACCTGAAAAGGAAGCCTTTGCACAGCCATTCCAATCTCTCTTCCATATGCATTTGACTGTGGACCAGAGGCTCTGGCTATTTCAATCCATTCAGGGATCTGACACAAAATATGGCCTGCAATGTTGTTCCAGTCTGAAGAGAACTAACCATGTCCACAGCTCTACAACTTTTCATGGCATTATGTTTTTTTCCTCCCTGCTGAGTATGAGTCGCTCTGCTCTTCTGTAGAGCTGGTGTTAGCAGCTTTATCCTGCTCATCATCAACACTCTCACCTGTACCAACTCTTGGGGAAAAGCACAAGCTAAGGAAAACTGAACTGGGGTTCAAAGCCTGAAGGTAGCACAGGTCATCTTTATCCTATTCCCCAAACCAACACATGATAACAGGTAAAAGATGGCAAATCGCCACCAATTCTCCACACCTTCACAACACAGAAAACCAGTCACTTGGCAAGAATTGGCTGTACCTCAGACCAAACTCCATCTGGCACTTGCTAACTGCTGAGGATTTCAGGGAGAGCTCGTCACCCATCCCAGAGTTATGTTGTGCCTCCAGACATTTCTTCCCTGGAGCTCACCTGTAAAATGCACAGCTTAACAGTTAGGACTGCTCTCAACTCAGTTTTTATTACCAAATTGTTGTATTATTTGTGTTCACAGGCTGGTGGAAGAATTTCTTTGCTTTAAACTTTAATATACTCCTTTAAATAAAATATGCACATTGATAATATCTACAGCAAGCATTTACAGAGTTAACAAACACAGAAACTATTGTCATTCCACCCGTAGAGAAAGTTACAAGCATCAAAGATTTCTGTTTTATTTGGAGATGTACCAGATTAGTTCCAGGGGCACTTATGCAACACACAATCTTACAGCAGATTTATTTATTTTTTTTCCTTTCCACTCCATGCATGTGCAAGGTAGGTTGTTTCCTCCCCCACCATTTGTTTGCTTTTTTCTCTCAGTTAAGTATATGTGGACAGAGACCTAAACCAGAGCCAGCTAAAAGTACGTCAGAAATTATCTGCTCTGTGTAGCAAGATATTTTGGTAAATATTACGATATTGACTCTTCACGGCCTTGCATTCTGGTATTGGCCTCACGGCTGCAAACTGGACAAACTCCTGCCATTCTGACACTGAGATGGTTCAGTTCCCTCTGGCCACACAGCAGTGGCTAAAAGTGCCTCATGGGTTCTCAATGAGGTATTTTTAGTGTGGAAATTCAGCAGCCCCTTGAAATGAGAAATATATTTGAGACAGGCTTCCCCAGAGAGCCATGGGGTGCCCAGAGGTGGATGGGTGCAGGTTGGCTTGCAGCTGTGCTTACCTGCATGGGTACCACACCGGCTTCGGGAGGGGCAGTGGCTGAAATCAGGATGGTGATGCCATCTAGGGGGAAAAACTGCATCAGTGTGTGACCCCTCCTTGTGCTGCTGGTAGCATTTGGTAGGAAAAGGTTTGAAGCATCATCTCTTCAAGGGCTGGCAGGTCAGCACAGACCAACCCACCTTCTCACACAGTTTTCCTGCTGCAAAACCACCCAGATACTGTATGAGGTCTGGAGATTTGGCCGTGGGCCTGCAAAGTGAAAGGCCATCTTTTGCACATGCACACACACAAAAGTGCGTTCAGGTAGGCCTGGGTAGAGGCACCCTTCACTACTCTTGGGTGAGGAATACATGTCAGCATACAGGCTTGGAGCCTAATCTTACCTGCTCAAGACATGAAATTTAAAACAGTAAAGAGATATGGAATGGTATTATCTACCATCTAATTGCTGTAAGACTAATGCTGCAAATTTTATGACTGGTGTCTTAATTGATAATTTCTGACTCAAGCCTGTGTAATATTTTACTAATTAAGGTATTTTGCTTGTTTGTTTTTAAAAGCAGTTATATGATGTTTGTGTATTCAGGGTTTTTTTTGTGGCTATAAGTTCCCATCACTGTGTTGCCAGTCATATACCATCGCCTTCCTACCACAGCAGAGTCAGTGGAAAGGTCAGGGACTGAAAGGAAACTGACTAAATTATTTTCTTTCCTCTAACAGGTCTGCAAGGCAAATAGGTTAGAAAAGGAAAGGTCAGTTCTTCTCTTACTCTTGTAAAGAAAGAGATTTCAATTGCCAAGCCTACTGATCTCCATATATAAGGAGACTTCCAGAAATGTCTTTGTACCAGTAGTCAGTGGAGTCCACAGAGTAGTATTAGTAACAGCTCTTTTTCTCCTATACTGATAAAGGCACTTATAACTCCAGGATTGCTATCTGAGAATTTTATAGCACTGTGTACAAAATGAAACAAAAATAATTCCCATAACATTCATAATGTTCAAGATTTTCATGGAAACTGACCAAGAAAATTTTATAACCCTTTCAGGTAAGAGAGCAGAACAGGGAGATAGGTTTTATGGCAGCTTAAAAATTAAGCTCCTAATAGTGGTGAAAAATATCAGGAATTGGGAAAAAAAAAAGTCTTCCTGACAGAAGCTAAGCTGACCTTGGTGATTCTTCCCATGAATAAAAGGTGAATTGATTTTCAGCGGTTGGTGCCTCTTTTCTTCTGCTTTTTTTTTTTTTTTTTAAGGGAGAGAAGAACCTTATGAAAGTTCAGTTCCTGAATATTTTCACAGTCCTACCTTTAAAAGAACAGCTGTAGTGTGAGATGGGTTATGGGTCAGTCTGCAGCCATCGTCAGAAAGCACCTTTAGTTTCGTTTGCACTGCTCCTCCCTCTTCAAAGATGGCAAACCAGTGATGCACAGGGAGCTGCCACACTGCACAGGCAAATCTGCTGGAGAGAAGACATCAAACCATCTATGTTTGAAGAGAAGAGATAACTTACTTTCTAAGCTAAAAAAAGAAATTACTAAGACACTGGGAAATTTGGGAGTGTTTTTGGCTTATCTTGTAAATATTTCTGGATTTTTCTGTGCACAGCCTTTTGTAGCCAAGTGCAATATGCTGAATGCTAGCTGGGTAACAGCATGCTCCATGCTTAGGACATAGGGACAGCATGTATTTGTTTACTTATTCAAATAACACTAGGGGTGAGGTTGCTTAAAAAATAATTCTGCTAAAAGGAACAAAAATTTCTTTTAAGTACATTCAACATTTTGTGATTCATTTAGACAGCCAGCTTTCAAAACAGAAAATTAGTTTAGTTTTTTTGAATATGCATTATTTTACAGTTCAGTTTTTTAAAATATAAAGAGTAAAAATAATTTTCAAATACAAGAGAGCATTCTCACTGTTCAAATCAATTCCAGTAACAACTTGTTATTTCAATCTCCAGGTGAAGCTTACGCAACTTTCTCAGAGGAGAAGTTTCTCATAGCTTCAGTTGCCTTGCCCACATTGTACCACTCCATTTCACAAAACAGATGTTCACAGACCACATCTGCTGTGCTGCCTCAGTTGCATGCTGGGCTGAGAGTACGCTGACAATCAGGGTATGGATGGGATGATGCCAGCAGGAGAACAGAGGGGGAAATTCAGTAGAGTAGACAAAAATACTATTATCTCAACACAGTACTACACCTGCCAGTTGGTAATAATTTACTGATCAACACAAGAATACTTGGGATTGCAGTCTCCCAACTGATGCAACTATTATAAAAACTTGCAGAAAAGAACATTTTGATCAGCACATTTTTTCCTACAGGCTTGAGGCATTAAATTCCTCATCCTTACTGGCACTTCCACCCAACCTAGCATTGGGAACTCAGATCCTACAAGTTGGGACCAGCTATTTTACTTTGTGTAACTGGCTACCACATATGAATGCAAAAAAAAAAAAAATAAATCCCCAAAGAACAGCAACAAAAAAACCCCCAACCAAGTCTCAACATACCAGTGGCCACACCATCCTCTTGCTTGAAGCACCGATGTCTCTGTTGTGACAATCTTTATTTTCATTATCAAACCAGTGGCTGTTCTTGATTTTTCCTCAATGCTTTCAAGGCAGCTAAGAATACATACTCCCTCACAAGGGAAAGTTCTTCTCACAAAAGAATTTAAACCAAAAAAGTATGCCACTTGGAAAAAAAAATTCTGAGAAAGTGGTAACATGGTTAGCTGAGGCCACATCTTCACAGATGGGCATAAACAGAATCTCAGTAGCAGGGGTAAACTCAACTCTGTACACACATTGCCAAGGCTGCTGTGGTACATCATAGCATGTGTTAAAGGTTAGCTTCTGCTTTGAGTAGATGCAACGTTCAGATTTGCTCAAACTTACTTTTAAGTTTGCAGAGAGATGGATGGGTCACCCATCCAAAAAGCTGGAAAACAGTGAAGTTGTCAACTTGGGAAGTCACTTTTGACCTTGGAAATGCCCTAATCATGACAAAGTAAGCAAACCCACTGAAGAACGACACACTACTGTTTTAAGTACCACATGACACCATTTCAGGCTGTTTGCCCCCCTTCATTGCCTTAAATCATACCTTTAATTCGGTGGTACTTGATAGTTGCATCTACAGTGTTTAGAAATAAAATATGCAGGACCATAGCACTGTGCTCTGGGGTCTCCGCTGGCTGCACCACCCTGCCATTTGTAAGCAGCTTGGGGGTTTACCTCGGGGAAGCTGCAGGAGGCTGCTGACCCCTTGCTGCAACCAGCTGTTTTGCACAGCTGCGCACAACAGAGCAAATTGCTGAAGGCCAGTAGAAGAGAGCTGTGTCTCTGCCAATATGATACAACTAGTTTTGATGTATAACAAAAAAACCCCAACAACATTCGGAGGCCAGTACATCCTCTACTGTGTCTCATGTACGGAGACAAGCAATATCTGAGGCTAGTGTATTGCCTGCACTAGAGAGCACATCTGCATCTGGATAGACCTAATGTGCTTCAGCACAGGTCACTGGGTACTTTACATGGGGTGCGCGACCTAAATAGTAACCATTAAGTAACCATTAACTGCTTTAGGTCACGATCACCCACCTGCATCCTTCCTTCGCCTCTGAATTAGGGCAAGACACTGCCTTGGCATATTCTGTCAAACAACCTGACCTCTACACCTGTGCTACCCATCTCACAATGGCTGCACTAACAAAGAGCTGGTTTATTGCCTTCCCTGTCATGCCCTTCCCCACCTTGTTCATGTTACCTCCAGAAACCTCTAAAGATATTGCTGCCACGTCCCTTTCCCAGGCTCAGAAGCTTCCCCTCTTGTGAGCCTCAGTTTTTCTCTATTTCTCTTCCATCTCTCCAAGTGCCAGTACCTCCTCCTGATTGAGGTGAATCTGTTCCCAAGGCACATGACAGTTCTCCTAACTTTTACAATTTGAACCACAATTTTTATTCTGCTTCTTTTACGTTGGTTTGGTTTTTTGTTTGTTGTGTTTTTGTGGTTGGTTTTTTTTTTTTGGGGGGGGGAGTTGATAGGGGGAGGTTTGAAGAACAGACTCTTACTGCAGAGTCCCTACATCTCTTTCTCCAAACACACTAATACTCATGCAACTAGTAAGTTCCAGTCAGTACCAGTAATGCTTAAAGAATCAGAAACTGTATTCAGTTTTAAGGTATAAACAAACATTTATTTTCCAGGACATCCTAGAGACTAGATGTCCTCTACTTCTCAGTTACTGAGAGGTAACAAGACAGAAAACACCTTTAGTCTTTTTCATAGCCTGCATTTCATTTAGTCCCAAATTCAAAGACACCTTGTACTTCAAAATAAACAGATCCCAGTAGAACTCATCCAACTGGAAACAATCATGTATGTTTATTCTGTCACCACTTCAACCCCATACAGTTTTCCCATCTCTAAAATTCTGCTGTGTCCTGCCAAAAATCACTTGCAAGTATCTTGTAACAGTCTAACAGGAACATGAGTGCTAACAGTCAAACACCAGGACAGCTTTGCTGAGGTTGGAATGCGTTGCAAATACCCCACTTGTCCTAGAAGTCAGATTCTTGTACTGCACCCCATGCTAGTCTTCCCTATCAAATCTGATCAAGCAAATACTCTTTCACTGTTCAGCCAGCATTTGCAGCAACTTTTTCCCAGTAGTTTAGTCCAAAAACTTTAAAGCATAGACCCTTCTTCCTATGGGACTTACTTTTGCCAAAAACATTAAAATTGGGGTTCCTCAACAAGGGGGAGTGAATGAGGAGAGTAGCATGTGTTTCGGCAAGAACAAATGCTTGAGTCTAAAAGAAGCAGACCTTGGCACAAGCCATCACAACTGAGAGCAAGGAATCCCACTCATTCTGCTCCAACTAACCTTAGTTACCTTAACATGTTTCAGAAAGACAAGCTAGATTAACACAGCCTGGTTTAAGAGATCTCATCAATTTATACCAAAACAAGTGCTTTGGATACAAACTGAACCTGCAGACTCACTGACTGTCCTTAGGGAAGTTAGCTCCTTTACCCTCACCATTCCCAAAATAAAGATCTAAGGAACTGGGTTATTCTAGGTTCTCATTACATCTCTTTGAATGTGGTGAAACACAGCTTTACTTGCTCAAGTTTCCAGTTTGTACCAGTTACAGTAGAGGTTCATCTATGTAGTCAAGTAAGACTGTTTTCAGACTCTTTAAATACTTCTGGATGAGGAAGCAGGGCAAAGAACCCTCCCATCAGATGACTGTAGCCAGCAACTGGATACAATCAGAAAAATTCAAGACACAGCGATGCTCTTAGAAGAGCCCCAGAGTGCTCCCCTACAGCAAAAATATAGGAACAGTGCTAGGAATCAATCACACTGTCATTTGTCCATTACCTTAATTAAGGAGGAGGTACACAGGAGGAAAACAAAAGTTGTGACTAGTGAAGGCAGGCAAAGCCTAAAGGTAAAGAAGCACATTACAGTAGTAGCAGATTCCTGTGATGGTGCTGGTGGGGAAGGAAAAAAAAAAAAAAAAGTCAACTGTAGATTTCAAGGTAACAAATAAATACTTTCCCTCAGAAAAGGAAGAATTTAACTTAAAATGTCATTTTCCTCTTACACCAGGCTCCTCTTAATTTCTCCTACTTAGTGACTCTCCAGTTTATTTAGTTTGCTAATATTTTTCCAAACCAAATATACTCATTTGTATAGTATACACTTGAGAGTATTTTTTCCAGTCTTATAAACTACAGCAATTTACCTATTAAGTATTTGAAATTTCAAATCAGCATTGTGAAGTTCAACACTTATTCTGTGCTTCTCTTAGAGCTGCTGTGATCAACCTACTTGACGATCCCTGGACCTAACTAACATCAGGGCTAGAGAATTGTGTGTTTGTTCTTCAGCCACACAGCCTCAATTTGTGCATCTCGCATAGCCCATACATATTCTCCTGAATGACTTGCTAGGGTTATTTTTTATTTTTGAGGACTAGAGGATTTTAGTCTCAAAAGAACTGTTATTTCATATTTGTTTATTTGACACTATATTGTTCCTTCACATAACTATAAATTCTAAGAATGCAAGGACATCTACGTGACAGATATTCCCGTATAAAATTCCCTTCAAAAACTGACCAGGGAGAAAAAGATGGAATCTTTCTCAGAAACAAACCAACCAATCCCACAAATTGCTCCAAGCTCCACTGCTTTAGCAAATCATATTTACATTGTCGATGTTATGCTTCCCTCTACTGTTTATCATAAGAAGCACAGTTACCTAAACATTCTGAAGTCTTCCTTAAAAAAAAATAAAATATACAAACTAATCTTTAGGTGCAGCAAAACCTAGCAAATAAGCTTAAAAAAAAACATCAAGAGCCAAAGAATCATCACGGAAATAACTAGTCATGTGTCACAAACCAGCGTTATGTATTTCACATCACTGATTTCAAGAAATGAATTCCACAGATACATTAAAACCGTCAAAACAGTAGTGGTCTTTATTTCCATCAGACAAGTTAACACTTCAGTTAGTATTAATTTATTTCAACATTTGGGAGATACGGAAATTAATGACTATTAAAAAAGTGAAATAAACCCCCTTCCAAAAATATACTGGATAACGTGTCTGAATTTTATACTGTTCCTCTGATGAGCCCTTTATATTATGCGACATCACATGCAGTTTTGCAAGACACAATAATTTATGGACTGTTTTTCAGCCTCTGATTTGTGAACCCTCATGGTGTCTAAGGAAGTTTATACATGTTATGCAGCAAACTAAGTACATAGATTTCAAAGGGGTGTCAATTCAGCAGGAAAAAAAATAGTTTAGAAACGTCCACAAATAAAAAAAGAAGGTAGAAAATACCAGTTTGGAATAAACTCTCAAATCTTAGTGTCCTGGTGGGAAAGTTAACATTAGCTTAAAACCAGAAAATACACTAGTCAATATTTTTATAATTTTAGAAATTGGGCTTTGAATAATACAGCTATCCATTGTTTTCAATTATGATCGAGTTAAAAACTGCAGACTACAGAAAAGTCATCAAATAAATGAAAACAATCTCCTCCCTTTGTCATCTAAGCCAAGTATGTACCATATAAATAACATCTGTAGTACAGAACTCTTTATATTGAGAGATGAGATATTTTCAACAGGAACAGGATTTCATTTTAGTGAGGAAAGTTAGTCCTGCAAAACCAGTTAGCTGTTTGTTCCTGTTTCAAGTCACAACTACTGAAAAGTTACCATCTTAACCCCCCTGCACCCACCAGGTTTTCTTGCAGTTTTGCCAAGAAACACATGCCATTGCAGAAAGTACAACTGGTTTTTTTT